TAGGAAGGTTAAGGTCATCAACAATAGAGGTATAAATAGCAATAGGGTTAGGAACATCAATGGGAAACAAGGTATCTGGTTGGGTAGGATCCACCCCCAGAGAGTTTGATGGCATTGGTCGTATAGCTTCTAGGTGCTCCACATCTCTTGAATAAGGTTAGCCTTTATGACGATGAAAGAAAACACGAAAGGGAGGAGGATCAGGAAGAAGAGGAAGCTGAACCGGTTTTTCCTCATTCCTACACTCCCCCTGAGGAGTAGGGAAGAAAGGCTCACTCTCAAAGAAAGAGACATCCATAGAAATGTAATATTTTCGAGAGACTGGATCAAAGCACCAATACCCCTTATGAGTTGTGGAGTACCCCAAGAAGATGCAAGGGATAGCACGAGGATCCAACTTTCCACAAGTGGCTGACAAGTTTTGAACAAAGAAACGACAACCAAACACACGTGGAGGAATAGAAAGGAAAGGAGCTTTGGGAAAAAGGAGTTGATGTGGGGCTTTGCACTCTAACCAGCGAGAGGGCATGCAATTAATGAGATAAGCAGCACAAAGAACAACCTCAAGCCAAAAACGTTTTGGGACATTCATATGAATCAGTAACCTCCTAGCCACTTCAAGAAGATGTCGGTTCTTTCTTTCAACACTATTTTGTTGGGGTGTTTGGGCACATGAGCTACGGTGAAGTGATTCACATGAAGCAAAGAACTCCGTGAGATCATTATGAAAGTATTCTTTGGCATTATTGGATTGGAAGACTTGGATTTCAGTTTGAAATTGGGTGAAGATCATTCATTGGAAAGTTTGGATAACTTTTGGTACTTCATCCCTAGTTCACATGGGATACACCAATGTGTATCTAGAGTAATCATCAATAAAGGTAATAAAATACTTGTAGCCACTCTCAGATGGTAAAGTAACAGGGCCCCAAACATCATAATGAACAATATGGAAAGGAAATTCAGATTTATTATTCTTTGAAGAAAAATGAGATCTACAATGTTTACTCAATTGACACATTTGACACGTAAACTCTGACATGGACACTGACTTAAACAACTCTAGGAATACCAATTTCAAAGACTCAAAAGATAAATGGCCAAGACGAATGTGCCATAAATAAACCTGACTCTTATAGGACTGACTCTTAGACTGTAAGACTAGCCTTACTCTCCAGCATGTAGAATCCATCCACCATACGTCCTCTACCAATCGCCTTCCTCGAGGCCAAATCTCGGATCACACAATAAGAAGGAAAAAAGGGACGAAGCATTTTAATGAATTAGTGATACTACTAACAGAGAACAAGTTAATAGGGAATTTTGGAACATGTAAAACATTAGAAAGGGTAAGACCAAAGGGAAGAGAAATGGTTCCTTGACCAGCTATGGAAGTGTATGACCCATCATCTAGTCTCACTTGTCTCTTCCAGAGATAAGATGATAGGTTTGAAAGTAAGTGGACTTACCAGTCATATGTTTTGATGCTCAAGAATCAATTATCCAAGGAGAGTCAGGGGAATGATACGATACATGGAAAGTTGTGGCAGAATTACCTGATGTATACACAAATGAGATTAAGGGAGGAGGAGCATCCATCTGACAAATTGCCCTACCATAGAGTTCTAAATGGTCATGAAAGGAATTAATGATATCCTTCCTAGGGTCAGAACTAGAGGTGTGTATCTAAGTTACAATAGTAGTAGGGGGCTGATTCTCCTGAGTAGCCATGTTTGCCGTAGTGAGCTTTCTCGGACCTTGCTGTCCTGATTTCTTATTCAGATCTGAACCTTGTTTATTACTTAGGTAGTGTTTGATAAATCTGAAATCTGAAAAGTTAAAAAGATATTAAAAGTGTCTAAAATCTGAAGAGGGTCTAATTTGAGAGAGATTTTCTTTCCGATGAGATCTCCATCATAGGGTTTCTCTGAGTTCTCCATCGTTGTCTCCCTTCTCGTTCGATGGCAACAGATTGAATAGGCTTATATCGAGTTTAAATGAGGGTATAATTTGTCATTATTAAAAATATCAAGGATATTTTAGACTTTCGGTCAGGTCTGAAATGCATCTGACCGCGTTCAGTGCTTGGCCTGGGTCTTAAAGTTTAAGATCTAAAAATGCATTTCAGATCCTTTTTTCAGACTCAACCCAAACATAGGTGGTGTCTGAAAAGCAACGTTTTCATAATTAAGAGGTCTGAAAAGTGTTATCAAACGTCACCTCAATTCCTGAGCCCATTTTGGCTTCCCATGAAGTTCCTAGTATGTACGGGTTTGTCGAGACTTCTGGCAAGGGGTGCTCTCGTCTACCCTTTGTTGAAAGTCTCCCTTCTTAAAGGGATTTCCCCCACCTATAACAACATTCCCTTTCGCTGCCAACATAACTGCATCCTCCCCAAAATTATTCATCAAATTTCTTCTACTTTCCTCTTACTGTATTAATGCATATACCTCCTGAATAGATGGAAGATCCTTGCTGCCTAAGATTTGGACTCTAATGGATTCATACACGGGGTTCAAGCCATGGAGAAATGCAAATACTCGTTGTTGGGAAACAAGGGACTTGTATGCTTTTGCATCTTCATCACAATTCCAGTCCACACTCTAATAGTGATCTGACTCCTTCAAGATGGAGGTCAAGTCTAAATAGGTTGACTCCTTTCCCCCTGTTTGTAAGTAGATGATTTTGCCTGTAATTGATAGATCTTTGCATAGTGGCGCAATTTAGAATAGGTTTGACTTTGCTTGTTCCCAAATCTCATAAGCCATTTCAGCCTACATAAAATTTCGTCTCACTTGAGGTTGCATAGAGACTAAAAGCCAGGACATGACCATGTTGTTTTCTTGGTTCCATATATCATATTCAGCACTGCCAAAATTAGGTTCTGTAATTCTTCCATTTATATACATGGTTCAAAGTATCGATACGCCTCTGCATATCGGCAGAGGTGTATCGGTACTTTGAACCATGCGGAAATATGTTTTTTTTTTCAAAATTTGGTTTTTGGGTAGTTTAATACCCATGTTTTTCATTAAAAAATAGTGGCGTCCCGAAACACATGTAAACAGGCGTATCAGGACCCAAAAGATACAATACGATACGCCCAATATGGGGCATATCGTATTGATTTTTTGAACCTTATTTATATATCCTATCTTTCCCCTTGCAATAATGTACAACCTGATCCCCTTCGACCATTCTAAGTAATTCAAACCATCAAGAGGTAGGACAGCCATAGGGAAAGATAAATCCATACCCCCACTCAGTCCATTCTGCATTGAGGAAACACCAAATGTGGCAGAATCTTCACCACTCATGATAACTGTTTTAGGTCACACCCAAATTAGTCACAAAACCCTAAAACAGTACAGTCCAACACCCTAGGAAACTAGAAACAACCACCTTTCAGTTCAAACACAGCCCTTCAATCATCAAAGAAGAAAAGTTTACTGCTGTTACAATACATACAGGTCATCTCCTGACCTACAAACATACTATAGGACTGCTGTCAAAGCATATACAGGTCATCGCCAACCTACAAATCATCACAAGGATCAACCGATCCCACAAAAAAGGAAAGAAGAGGTGCTGATCACCTCACATCAGTTAAGTGAACCTATTACAGGCAATGTTTTAAAACGTGGAAGCGTGACGCGAGGTGTTTCACTACCTAGATACATGAGGTGTAGTTCAAAACGCAAGAGGCGTAAGCCTCCCGAACACAAGGAGGCGTAAGAGGAGGGTTAGGAGGAGGATGAAGTGGAAGGGGGGATCTCATTTTTTCTTTATTTTTAATAAAAATCTTTTATATTAAGAAGAATAAAGATGCATAACATTAGTTGAAAGGGGGGGGGGTCTTGTCGAAGCGGGGGTGAGCGAGCGAACTCGCTGAAGTGAAGCAAGACCCCCCTAACTCAAAAAAACAAATTGGGCTGCATCAAAAAGGGGGCAGGGGGGTCGCCCCCCAGCCGAAGGGGCAGGGAGCAAACCACTTTCTTTCCCCTTATCTTTTCTTCACTTCCCTTTCCTTTCCTTTCCTTTTCTCTTTTTTTCTTCTTTCTTTTTCTTTCCCTTCCCTTTCTTTTCCTTTTTTTTGTCTTTTTATATCAGATGTGTATGAAAAAAAGCGCTAGTGAAGAGAGAAAAGCGCATGAGGCGTACGCCTCTAGTACACCTCAGAGGTGTCAGCACCTCTGGCATATGCCTCAGGGCATTTTGGGAGTGCCCTTGCCTGGAGGCACGCCTCCCATGCCTTTTAAAACACTGATTACAGGTTCTGTCCTGGTAGTTGGTACACGACCAGAAAAAAAATTTTAAAAAAATGGAGTGAACCTACTTCTGGAACAATCCAGTGCTGTACTCTAGATCTTCAGTAAAACCAGCAGCAGCTAGTGAAGAGAGAAGACAGAAAAAGAAGGCTTGCTTGATCTCCTTTCAGATCTAATAGTCCCGCTTTGATACCATATTGTCCGGAAGATGAGAAGAAGAGGAAGAGAGAAGAGAGAAAAGAGAAAAAAGATTTGAGAGCCAAAAGTTAGGCTGGCGGCAGCAGCTTTTAGTATTTATATTAGGGCGATATAAACAAATAAACAAAAGGGAGAAATTACAACAGTACCCCTGTGGTACTAATCTGAGTATACTAATAGACTTTTAACATATACTAACAGACTTTTAACAGAAGTAAACTTAAAAGCAGTTCCAGACTCCCTGCATCTTGGGGTGGAGGGGATAATAAGAGGCTTCTGATTGCATAGAACGTTTAGATGTCCATCAAAATTAATCTATTGACTTTTGACCACTCTAAATGTGGGTGGGATAATCTTTCACCCCCATCGCCCCCCCCCCTCTTCCCCCCACCCCATTAGACAGATCATCTAATGTTGGTAGGATCATTTTGTCCAATTAATAAGCCAGTTATTATTTTGTACTAATCCATGGTCTACCTTACACACACACCTGCTGCTTTAATTTGATGAAATCTTTGTTACGTTTGACTGCAGTGTCTATCCGTGATACCTCTGGAAGTGTTTAGGTGGGCGGTTGCAGGTGTTGCAGGGTTCATGTCAGCAGCCTTTGTTTCCCTCAATCTCAGAGCTCACATTATGTCTTCAGGTGAAAGATGGATTTTAATTGTGGCGGGCATCTTCCTATTGCAGCTGGCCCTGGCCGTCATGCTTAAACTCTATTTGTTCACTGTTACAGTATAAACATACAGCGAAGTTAATGGGACATAGATCATAGGTATCAGATTTTTTTGAGCAATGGCTATATGTAGTTCCACTTTTTAATCATATATGCTTTTCATTGGTGGAACTTATGAATTGTATTCTTGCATTTTGGAAAATATAAATGCAATGACCGAATTCCTCGACCAAGCGCATTTTACAGATGATGAGCTCATTCTATAAACAGCATCGCATTGTTTCCTTCTTGCCCATTTGTCAGTCACAGAGGTGCATATTTGGATACCCATGAGTTGATACCTACAAGCATCGGACATGGACAGCCATGGAAGGTGGTGCTTAGCAATAAGTGAAATGCCGGCTATTTAGGAGCATCGTTGCTTATATATATTTTGTGATTGTGGTAAAAAAAGAGGGCCAGCAAAAATTAATTATATTGAGTTGAAATGATTTTGTGTTGCATCTTTTCTTTTTTACCTAATTATTGATATCTATTAGTTGATCTTTCATTTTTTGGTACATGATACCTGTTAGCTGTTAGCTGATTAAGACGCTTGAAATGGCTACCAGCCTGAAATGTTTTTAGATATTCGCTTGATCCTTAATTACCAGTTCAGTTACATTCATTGCCATGTGTTGAAGAATTTGGTTATTGGCTCTCCAAAGTGGTCCGGTTTACATTCAGCTAGGGTCATCATTTAGACACATGTACTTCTACACACTATTTGATTGACTTTTTGAGAATTCTTTATTGCTCAGGGTTATGGTCGTTTAATTGGAATATTCATATGCTCACTCTTAGCCTTCATCTAATTGGTAGACACTGAACAGAGTATTGAAGGAAGCCAAGAATGGAGTGTACAAATACATAGAATTACGGCGAGAACAGGAGTGGGATGGATTATCATCATCATCATCATCTAAGCCTTAACTATATGGGGTCGACTTTATGAATCCTTTTTCATCATTCCATTTTCTTCAATGCCATATCCATTGTTGAATTATGGGTGTTTAAATTATTTTTTACTACTATAACTCATCCTTTTTGTTCTGCCCCAGACTCTTTTAGCCCCTTCAACTTGTAGGCTTGCAGCAGATTTCTTCTTCTTATAGGTTCTCTAAATGGTCTTTTATGATTATAACCAAAGCATGTCAGTTTATTTCATCTCATTTCGTCATCTGTTTGAGTTACTTTTGGTTCTTTCTAATGATTTTATTTCTGATCCTGTCATTTCTAGTTTTTCTTCTCATTCATCTTAGAATATAAATTTCTGCAACATTAATTTATGTTTTAAAGTGTGACATGTTTCCTTATCTTTATTTAGAATACAGGCTATCTGTTTAGAATATGGTATTTCGAGCAAGCATCCTCTGCATCCATGGTGCAGAAAATTTTTTGCAACCATGAATCACTAAAGGACACGTCACGCTTGGCCAAATCCAAACATTCTAAAATCCCGCTTCTCAAAAATATCCTCTCCCCTCTAGCCCGAACTCCTCTCTCCCTCTCTCCCCGTTTTTCTTCTTCTTCTTCTTCAACCCAACACAATCACCTCTCAATAGCACCGCCACTGCAATGGACTTGGCCAATCAATGTACCATGATTGATTGGTACTTTAAATCCAGCCTTTGTGAACCACTCAATGTACCATGAAAACTGTTTGAGGTGTGGGGAGATTTTGTAATGCCCAATCATGAGTTTGGTCAAGGGTCATTGGTACTTTCTCGATCATTAATGAAATGCCCATTATGCGACGGCATTAAAATAGTGGAGCAGAAAGCCAGAAACTAAAAGGATGATTCATGCATAAACTCGTAGAAAACAGGAATAGTAGTGTTTCAATTTGAGGAAACAATATGCCAAGTCTCAAAACTTTGTTAAGAGCGTTAAATAAACTGCTGAACACTGATAGAATAAAGGGAATGCTAGCAAGTACGAGGAGTTAAAATGGTACTAGGCTTATGCAATGGCAGCCTATGAAGTAAAGTTTTTCCACCAGGAAATCCTTTAAACAAGTTCATTTTCCAAACACTGTCACAGTAAAAGGGATGCTAGAAAGCAACAACTAACAAGGCGCAAAAACACCTTTGCGTACAATATAGATAAGGTAGGATCAGAGAAAAAGCATGTCAACCTGGTTAAAACTATGGGACCCTGATTTCTCAAGCAGTAATGATTTTCTGTAATTTTGGTGTTGATGTAGGGATACTTGGCAGGTCTCATTTCGCGCCACGTGGTGTTGGTGAGATCAAATCCTGGTCGCACATCATCAATTGTGTCTAATCACTCCTAAGGCAAGGTTAACTATAAAAGAGAGGCATTCACCTCAAAGCAAGGACATTCAAAATCCCAAGAGAATCATCCTTGGTCGTTAAGGACCAAGTTCTAAGCTCTCGTCTCTTGCTTGATTTGACCCCTTTTTGAGTATTCGGCTAACTTAACCGTCCCAATCTCCACCCTTGGACTAATTAACATCAAATACTAAGGATGTTATTTTATTGCCCTCAGCCCCATATCTAGCATCAACAAGTGTTACTTCTTAGCATTCTTCATTTCAATAGCCACCAACCCGAAAACAATAATTTGATTTCGTATGAGCACGAAGTATTCTTGATAACGCTATTATGTCAAAGCAATCCTAGAGAAACTCAGGATGCACTCTTATCTTCTCTTTCAAACAATAGCTGGCGGCAGCAGATGCGGTTGGTGGTTGCAGAAATCTGAGAGCCCTGGGGCGGTTCAGTGGCTAGAGAGAGAATAGTTTGAATTTGGGCTAGATGGAGGGGAGCGAATTTTTGAGAGGGAATTTTGGAGCCCATACGCCCGTTTAAGGTTTGGACTCTGTTAAGTTAGTGGATTTGGCCAAACGTGACGTATCCTCGATTGGTTCATGGCTGCACAAATTTTTCTGCATCATAGATGGAGAGGATGCAAATTTTGGTATTTCTAAATCTTGTATTTACATTATATATTTGTATTTGTGCTCTTCTCATATTGAACCTTTTATTCACTGATTCAGTTGCAACATTTATACTCATTATATGTATTTTGCTTCATTGTTGTCTAGGCCTCGGATACCTTGAGTAGATAAAGGATACCCATCCTTGCATAGAGAACTGTTGAACTAACTGAGATAAAACATGGGTCATTTTATGGAATGATGGATTCCGCTATTATAAAAATTTGAAAAATTAAAAAGGGAAAAGGAGACTTTTTATTTATAGCGTTAGGGATCATAAACTTGATAGGGGAGATTTCAGTATTTATAAGAAACACTAGGGGGGGTTAGTCTTTTACCCAAAAAAAATCGATCTATTTTCCTGAGCCACCCTATTTTAATCGCATTTCTCTTGAGAAATACAATCAGGTTATAAACCATGTTGCTCCATAATAATCACTTTAGAAAGACTTAAATCTTTTGATCCCGAGTTTTTAGTGTAGAAATTAGCAACCATTTGTTAATTTATTGAAGGATTAATCGGCTTGGACGATTAGGGACTCCCTCAAATTGGGAGGCTAAAATGACCGTAATTAAGCGGCCATTTGGTTGGTGCAATAGTAAATATCTCAGTCTGACAAAGAATGAAAATGCGGTTTTTGAATCCAAGAGTAGTCACTTTGTGCAAACGTTACCAAAGATTCGATTTTTATTCCAGTCCAACCCTTTGAGAACACAAGATGACCCTAAGTTAAAAATGACCTTTGATTACCTGCTACTAGTACAACTTTGTATAAGTAATGTATTCAAAGTTTTGAATCCCTGATGATCAAGTAATCGACCCAATGGCCAAAGACAAAGAATAGCTAGGTATAATAACATTTGTCAAATCAGTGATCTCATCTCATTTTATATTCTGATCCTATTTCTATCTACTGATTAATCAGGGACGGGACATATTGAGGAAGCAATGATTTGCACTTTAGAATACTAATCACCAATTTTTTCTCAATTAAATGAATGGGTATCTTGGCAAAATTTCAGACTTGGGTTTCCCCTTCACCTTCTGACCACCAAAAAGTACATACCTTCCTGTCCTGATTCGTTACATCATAGGTGGGTTAAAGATTTACAGTGGAGTTGTGTAAATAGGAGGCTTTTTACATCACTTACCCAAGGTGGAACAAAATTTTATGTTTTGCCTTCTTGGACAGCTTTAGATTGATCTGGGTAAGTCAGAATATCAGAGGATATCCTCCTTTGTTAGTCTTGCTATTGAAAAATTGTGTTATAGATCCGCATGATTTTAATAATCGTTTTGTTCTTCTCCTCTGGTCTGTTTATATCCATGTAAGAGAAGAAAGAGAATCATTGTTGCTTATTTTGAAGAACTTTAATGAGTCGATTTTTTTTTTTATATTTGGTGTTATGCACCATTAATAACTTTCCCCTGACCCCTTTTTCCTCAAAGTGCTGGTTGCGAAATTTGATTCCACCTCAAGGCTAGAACAAACCAGTTAACACAAGGAGCCAGCCCTCTGTTGGTACTTTTATGAGTTGATGGATCCTTATAAAAAAAAAGTTGCGAGTGGCTATAAAATAGCTAACGTTATTAACCATAGCATTCATCTCTTTTTTATTTTTCTTACCAAATTAAAGCTGTATTTGATACCATTGCAGTTTCTACCTAAAGCGTTTTGAGTTTATCAATACCAATTGACATACAACTGTTATTTGAGGCTTTATAGTTGAAACAGGTATACCTTGAAAGTTTAAATTTGAGAGACTGTTTGTAGAAATGTCAAATTGGCATTTCACGTAGAAACAACAACAATGGTACTAATCATTCTAGCTTGAGCGAAGTTCATATGTGATAATGTGATATGACTATGCATATCTCTCACCAAATTGTATTGATCAACCCGAAACATGCACACAGGTGACTTCGGCAGGTCCCTTATTTATCTGAAGTCTTAAGCCTACAACGGTAGTGAATGTGCCCTATTTATCATAAAAAGGATGCATTTAAATGAGCATCCAATCAAAGTTTTATTGCTCTTTTTTTTTCAGTTTCTTATCAAATAAGTTTGAACCTGCTTGAATTGTTATGATCCAGGGGAACGCATAACCACTCTAGTGTATTCATTCAAATATCAGTCTTTCCATCCTTAATTTAAGAATACAAGTGCTTTTACTATAGTTGGAGAAAATGACAACCCCACAGTATTGGCCCATTTTACAATTCAAAATAAGACAGGATTTCCTGAAAGCAAAAGCTGAATGAAGTCAATGAACAATCTGAGAGCACAACATCCAGTTTTTTTTTTTTCTGGAAGACCGTCATCAAATTTTTCATTTTGCTGATTTCAACTTGAGCTAATAGTAAGTACTAAACAGGATTACAGGATCAACAATTCCACCTATCATACTCACTTTTACAAACTTGACCGACAGTACGCCTTTCATCAAACATGAATGGTAAGTAGCAGAATAAAAGAGAAAACGAGGGAGTCGCCTGTAAGTAAAAACTAAAAAGAATTATTTCACGTCTCTCATCATCTTTTCTTAAAGCCAAGAGATCTGTTTTAGCACTCCCCAAATTGACGATCTTTGGACATCCATCCCTATCCTTCTCCTGCTGAGTACACTCCTCCACAGATCACACATCGTCCCTGGAATGACCCATAATTGCATTCATCACAGATCCGCACAAGGGTACAAGGTCGAACATACGAGTCACATATTAAGCACTTCCCATCACACTTCTCACAAAGCCGTCCAATGGCAAACCCTGGTTGCTTCCCGCACATAATCAGATCTGGGTGATGTTCCCATATTAACTAATGGCTATATAATCAGCCCCCTTGTTTCCTTATCTGCAAATGTAATTTGATTAATTTGGAATTTTGGATGTCTTGAAAATTAGGGCTGTTCATCAACAACGAACCAGATAGCTTAATTATATCAACAATTTTCCCAATCCCACTATAAATATATATTAATATTTTATATTTTAAATTTAAATTTTTAATATAAAAAATGAAAATTTTCATATTTTCTAATCTAAAATATTTTTCAAGTTTAAATCATTTGAATCAACCAACCCAAACAGATACAATCCAAGCTAACCAATTTTCATCAATGGTCAGTCAATTTTGGGTGACCAATTCCTCAATCCGATTAGATTGATTTGATTGGCCAAACAACCTACAACCAAACCAAACTGATCCATAAACACCCCTACTGAAAACGCTCCAATATCGTCTAACATTTTTAACTACACGCCATATGCCATTTCTACTACATGTATCGCATTCTGTTGAGCCTCAACTGCCACGGAATTCTCATAATGGTCTCTTAATAGGATTCCACCAGTCGCCGTTGATTTACCATCTCGAATTAACGTCAAAAATTCAAGGCTATCCATTGATCTTTTCAGATCTCCACTTTACTCTATCATCTGCTTGGTCCCTTTTCCACCTTGCGTAGTTGGTGTCCACAGTACACGTAGGATGCCATCGGTTTATTGCGTTGATTCTGGGCCTAAGTTAGGAGCCTGATCTAAGTTCTTACTTCTTAGCAAGTTAGCATGGAAAGCGAGGAAATTGGATGGTGTCCGGGACTATACCAGATCCTGTCCGTCAATAAACCTTTAAGTAACTAATATAGAGGAGATCACTGGTACGTTTGATACCATCCAATCCATTAATAATCACCTTTTAACACCCGCAACAGTTCTCGTATGGGCATCGGTGGAGTTCTCTCAAAATTCTAACATCTCAAATCAATCTTGTAGTAGTTATTGATTAATGATGTTTAAGAGCATGGAACCAACATTTTAAATGTGTTGGCATGTCACCTTTTGGCTTTTTACCATTTAATTTAATCTCTTTTAACCTCGCAACACCTTTTTGAAATGGAGAAAGAAATTGAACTGTCATCTGGGCCAGAATCTCTTCCTGTTTCATTTTCCATTGCTTTTGGACTTCTTCCCCTTGGCTTCTGTCAGTGGACTGATTTGGAAAGGAATAAAGGTAATGCCACCCATGAAGGGTTGCAAGGCTTTTGGAATCTCTACACCATCTTCCTTCTGGTTGTTCTCGAGAATACAGCAAATAGTCCTCTCTGTTGCTGTAAGGGTAGAGTTCAACAAGTGAACATACTGCTTTACTTGTTCGTTGCTCTGCAACCAAAAGAATAATAAGCTGTAAATACCAAAACAAATAGCGAAAGAGTCCTTCATAAATGGATTTGGAGTTAAGGCATGCATTTTAAAGTAATGGTTTGAAGTGGAAGCAAGGCGCCTACCTTTTTCTGCCCATATCGGATCTCTAATCTCCTCGACTGGTAATCTGTACAGTTCGAACAGGAAACCAGCTCTCTATATGTCTTGGATGCAGGAAACCATCCTTCCAAATCATACTTCTTGGCGGCTGCATCATTCAAAGCACCAGAAACAATTGCCACAACCTGATAGGGAATATTCAACTGCAGTAAAGAATAGCATATGTCAGACAACTTCCATGGGTAACAGATCATCATTCAAATAGAAAAAATAAGATTATAAGAATAAAATAGAGAGATGTAAGGATAACAAGGTTGCTGTTTCCTAAGGGTTTCTGAGCAAGATCTATACCTCCTTGTAGAAGTCCTCTGAGTTTTTTATCATTTCCTCGTGCATTTCCCATGAATCATTACCATTTGGGCTGGTGATGCAGAATTGTTCCACTTTTTCAAATTGATGGACACGGAAAATACCTAGTGTATCTCGACCATGTGAACCAGCTTCCTTACGGAAACAAGTTGAATATCCTGCATATCTAGCCACAAATCCAATCTTTGTGGTGAAGGATTTATTTAAATCATCAAGTGAAATACTATCAACAGTAACTATATGACTTCATGATCCTTTTGTGGATAATAATATCCCAGAAGTCTTGGTTTATACCTTACGGGAAGTTCTGAAGGATGTATCCAGTCATCAAGATGATAAGCACACAGTGGCTGCTCAGCTGTAGCAATTAGATACTTGTCATCTCCCTCACCAGTTACCTGTAAGTAATTTGATCAATTGTAAGCATAAATACTTCATTCTTTTTCCATAAGAAGGGGTGCCCACATAAAAGCACATTTGTTCTTATCAACAAATAAATGACCATGGAACTTTCAAAGGCATAATATGCAGAAAACATAAGCATAAATAGATCCACATAAAAAGTCTAAAATGAATGTAGCAAAGTTGCCTTTTGATGAGCAAGAAAAGAGGTTCATTGTGAACATAGTAGATGAAAGAGCTTCCCTTGACACAGATTAATAGGAATAATGTGCTTAGCCCTCGGAATATACCAGTCTGACAAGCTTTGTGCATGGGAAGTTCAAAGTGGGTACTGTAATGATATTCCCCAACAGATACAGCATATATCATAACTTGTGCATCACAGTTATGTGCCTGATGGAGTGAAAGACTCTTTGAGGGCTGAAGTGTTAGCAGCTTTAGAAGGGGTACAAAGGGCTAAAGACCTAAATGTCAAGAAATTGATTATAGAGGGAGATTCTGTGATTGTAGTGGACTGGCTAAAAGGAGACACTTCTAAGATGTGGAGCTACAGTAATGAAAAGAGAAAGTTCAAATGGCTGATCAAGAATATGAAAGTTCAGTGTACTTGGGTAAAGAGAAATGCAAACTGCTTTGCTGATGGATTAGCTAGGAAAGGGGTTAATAGGGTTTCTGGGTTCTGGGCTCAGTTGTAATTGTTGTTTTTATCAGTTTGGGTGCATTACTTCTAGGGAGTTAAGATACCTTAGCTCCTCTTCTTTGTAAGTTTACTATTATCTAATGAGATCTGTTGTTATTGATAAAAAAAAAATAACTTGTGCATCACAGGTTGAACTCTATTATGAAGTGCTAATGAAAGTTGGAAATGTAGTCACTTATTTTTATAGGCAGTGTATGTATGACATGTAATCAATGCAACAAACCTTTGGGGGTGGGAGTTGTAATGGAAAAACTGACACTCCTTCCTTATTTCAACTGTGTACACACCAGCGATTTAAGGCGCGCCTAGGCGCACAGGCGAGGCGCATTTTAGGGTATGCGCCTCGCCCAGGTCCTAGGTGCACCCCTTTCAAAAGGCACACGCCTGGTGCGCCTCAGCCTCAGCCTAGGTGTGCACCTTTTTAAAACTCTGTGCTTTTTTCGCTCGCTCACCGAAGCTCTGAGAACCCCCTATTTGCTAATGTTGTTCATTCATTCATTCCAATAAAATATCTTCTTAAAAGGCAAATAAAGTTATAAAATCATTATTTTTTAAGTGAGAAATAAGAATTTAAGATCCTAACATGGACTTGTTCGGGCTTGCCTCGAGAGGCATGGTACAAAGGTTACTCGTAGAATCAAGAATGCAATATGTTTTACATTACATTAGCTACTTGAAGTAATGCAATTGAAGAAAAAAAGAGATTGTGGGTTTTACATGCTTGAAAATACTTTATATGTTTGCTTTTATTTATAAATTTTCATTTGAATATGTTTTACAAGTTATGTTATGTATTTTAATTTTAGATAATAGGTTTTTTAAAACATTTATTTTAAAATTTAAGTTTATATTTTTTATTAACATTATGTTTAATATTTTTTGCATTTTTTGAATTTTCTGACTTTTTTTATTTTTTAGCATTTTTTTGGTATTTTTGCGCCTTGCTTCAAAAAGGCGTGCACCTCGCCTTGCGCCTTTTTTGTGCCTTGCGCCTTTTTTGTGCCTTGCGCTTTTAAAACACTGGTACGCACTCAAGAAATTGACCTTGGTAGCAGTGGTTATAAATCACTAGATTATGGTTTTCTTTTTCTTATTTTTTGTTGCAACTTTTCTTAAAATAGTTGCTTAAGGTTATAATTTGGAATCCTCAAAATAATGTCAACCATCCAAATGTTTTCCTTCCATTCAGTGGAACTCCTACTTTCTTCAGACATGTCCTTTAAAATTTAAATACTTGATTATTGTTCAAGTATCATTTTTTCTAATTAAGATCTTAAAACCAAAAGAAGATAATAAACTATACATGAATCGGTTGGCCTTAAGAACATTTAGATACTTGATTATGGTTTATTATTTTTTTTCTAATTAAGATCTTAAAGCCAAAAGAAGATAATAAACTATATGGCAACCCTCCTATATACTTCAGTGAAAGGACAACTAACTGTTTGTTATCAAAAGCTAAGGTAAAATAAATAAAAAACTACAGTTACTGATAAAAAATAAATAAATAAAAAAAAACATAGTACAAGCTCGAAAAAAACAAACATACTTGGCAAAGTCTGCAACCACTGCTTTGTAACATAACAGTTGAATTACTTCTACAACACCACTTGCTCTGACCATTCTTTTAGATGATTGAAAAAAATAACAGCATTTTAATGGTTTTTTTTTTTGAAGGATCAGGGTTTAAATTTAGAATTCTAGATTGAAAGGAGGTTCTGGTCAGACATGGTTCATTGCCAATAAAAGTAGAAGAGGAAGGTTGAAGAGAAAATATTTTAAAGAGATGTTTGTTCTATTCCCAACTTTTAGTTTTTTACTTTTTTCAGTGTTTCTTTCCTTGCAACCAGTATTAAGAAATAACTAGTTTTCTTGCATTAACATTAAATGCATGTCATGCACAGGATAAATACTACAGAAGCAAATGTTGCCATGGTTTTCATTTGCATTTCTTTTTCCTGTAATAAATAATAAAAAAAAATCTAAAGGCTGCCTCGCTGAAAGGCCTTGAAATGACAATCAACCARCTACATAGAAAAATTCTCTGCCTAACAATCAACCAGTCCTAAGGGACTGGGATCCTCCTGAATCTAGTTTTCTCAAATTGAACTTTGATGGAAGAAGTTTGGGTAATCCAAGGACCGTCTGGAATTGGAGGGATGATGAGAAATGACAAGGGAATTATTGAGGGCTTGTATTCAGGCCCTATTGGAATGGGAGACTCCACTACAGCTGAGCTAAATGCAGTGGTATTTGGATGCAAAAAGTTATAGAGTTGGGAGTGAGAAAGTTGTTATGGTAGGTGATTCCAAAGTAGTTATAAGCTGGCTGAAACAGAACGGAAAGACTCCTTGGTTTTTTGGAAATGAAATCAAAAAGTTTAAAAGACTTTCAAAGGACATGCAGCTGCTAATTCAGTGGATTCCAAGGTTGGCAAACAGTTTAGCAGATCAGTTAGCAAAACAAAGGGGCTAACAGGGAACAATGATTTTGGGCTCAGTTTAAGGTTGAAGATCTAAAAAGTTTCTAGTTTGGCAAGGTYTAAGTCACAGTGGGGTAGCCGGGGCTACTCATAAGTTGTATTTGTTTCTTCTTGTTAATTGATAACTGATCAAAAAAGCTACAACTCCCATGCCTAGGCTCCATCTTTATAATCTCTGGGGTTCCACCCTTCTTTTTGCAATACAATTTCTTTACTTGCCTTTCAAAAAAAAAACAATATTCCGCATGCATGTGATCAACAATTTCAGTTTTTACAGAAATAGACATGAAATATTCTTTTAGATACAAGTGAAAGCCCTTTATAAGCATAGGAAAATATATCAGTTTAAAGTTTATACATCTCTACAGTACTAGGCAAGTTTCACAAAAGAAAGGACAAAATGAAAAAAGTCACCTTGTAAAGTTCTTCGTCAAACTGAGCTAGTTGGGCGCATTTTGCCATGATATCCTTTTTCATGAAAAATGGAGTCTGCAATGGTGTGTATTTCCGGTTTGCCAAAAATGTTAAGCCAAAGTTAATCAATGCCTGATTAAGTAGTAAACCAGCCCCTTTCAAATAGTAACCCCTTCCTCCAGCCACATTAGCACCTACACATTAAGAATTTTTTCATAAATGAGAACACTACATGAAGCATCCACAAGCACTAAGATGACCTCTAGACTGTCCATTTTCAATCTAGGTCATGGACGGTTCAAAATGGGTCCCATGCCCATGTTGGATACATCAACTTTTAGTGAACCAAAAAAGGTTAACATCTAGTTCAGAGAGACCAAAGCTCCAGCTTACAGCATGAACATCTCACTTGTGTGAATCCAAAAGTCAGCCAAATAACCGATTGATCATTTGGCTAGAGATGTGAAGATAGATGAATAAGACTGTTACCTTTAGATATATGTTTGTGCATAACAATTGTTTTGTAGATTGATTGCCTCCATTCTAAAGAGGTTTTTTCTCAGTTTGCATATAATTTTGTAATCTCTTATTTCTTCTGTTTGATAAAGTTAATTGGAAAGTATAATACTTGCAGTCTTCGCAGATTGTTGAATGCAATTGGAGAATCAATTTCACACAACAAAAACTTAGAACCAAGATCATCATCCATGTGAGCAAAATGTTGTTTTTTCACAATATAATGAACCTCTGCTGATAAATTTAATCTGTCCTAACCATTTTTTAGCTTAAACAGATGTTGTAAAAAGCATAAAAAATAACATGCTCCAACATTTCTCATGAAATAATGGACAAATATCACGTATTGGGTAGCTTGATTTCAATGCTATAGCAGCTAGTCCAGTTTTTGAAGCTTCATTYCCTCAGTAAGGTAGAAAGGAGTCCGTTCAATATGGGAATTGGATATGCAAGCCTTTATTCCAGAAGAACATAAAAACATTCAAACACAAGATTTTATGATATTCATCATTCACTAAGATTAGCAAAACTTGATACCCTGCTCTTACATACAATCAAATTCTTCTTCTTCCTCCCCCTCCAACCTGGTGTGTGTAACATAATTTTCAAGGCACCAAGGCAAGGCTAGGCGATGGGGGGGCACCTTGTCACCTATTCACCTAGGTGATGAATTTTTTTTAAGTAAAAACATATATCCTAGGGTAGTTCCCTAGGTTCCATAAACCATATTTCCATAATAATTATCCATAATTTTCATAAGAAAAGTATAAACCTCATGAGAAAGTCTAGAAAATCGACATATTCATGAGAAGAAAAAAGAAAAGAAAACTCAAAAAATATAGGGGCTGAACCCCTATTTTTGTTATAGGAAAAGAAAGAAAAGAAAAGGTGGAAGAAGAAGACAAAGTCGAAGAAGAAAATGTGTTGATTAGATAAAATTTAAGTTCTTCCTTACTTATTAGTTCAGGTTTTGAAGTCTTTGAGGGTTCAATATAGCAGTTAGCAATGTCTGTGTTGATTAAACCCTAACAAATAAGAAAACAATAAAAAGAAATTAGTATATAAAGACAAAATGATAATTTTAGTTTAACGATGTCTATTTTATAATTATAATCTCAAAATTTTAAGAATATAATAGTATTTTATAACAGAATATACAAAACTGCTTGGCAATTAGATGGGGCAAGCCTTCAAGGGTGCCTTGTTGCTAGGTGTCGCCTTGACAACTATGGTGTGTAACACGATGGATCAGCCATGGCCTGACTTCTCCAAAGGTCTGAAGGGAAAATGGCCATACTTGGTTGGGGATGGAAGGAAATGGCTAGATCTCCGGAGGGGCTTGCACTACATACCCTCTGGAGAGGGATCATGCTGCTGTAGTTCCTGCAAAATGTTGGTGATCAGAGACAGAGAGAGAGGGTTAGAGGGAGAGAGGGGGAGAGAGAGAGAGAGAGAGAGAGTTAGAATTTGGATCTTGGATACCCCCTTAGATTTGATCATTCCTATTATTTATTCCATGTCAGCCAAGGTGGCCAGTTGTCAGCCAATAGTTTGTTCTTACAATGCTCCTATAATTTATTCTGAATTACTGTTTGGTAACCTGGGTTGGTCATTGGACCAGGCTGGCATGGTTCTGATTCAAAATGGATTAAACAGGGTATATCCGTATATGTGGTGGTTCATATTGAAAGCTGTGCACTGTCTTTTTTTTTATGAATAAAGTTGTGACACTGTCTAACACATATGTCAATGCTCTTACACCTTGATGGGTTTTTCCATTTCACATGGTCCAAGTTATGGACACTTTAGGTAGGAACCAGTTGTCAATTGATGGTGTACAGGAGAAATTTACACTATTACAGACAGAGAAAAGATGGATAATAAATAAATGAGTAAAAACCAACTTAACAAGATAAAATTGTTCTGACTACAATTGCCAATTGACTCATTTGCAATTCATTACTAAAGTTAGAGGCTCAATTAAATCAGCAAAAAGATGACTAATAAATCAAATCATCAGTTGTGGGGAAAATAGGAGGTCAAAATTTTTTTATTCATGTATTGGGTTGTGTCCACAAACTCAAACCTACAGTTGATTGGGGAACTTGGTGAACCTCCAGGACTACCATCCATGCATCAAGTCAATGATGATAACGAGAGTATATGTAGAGGTATCTACACTTGCAGACACATGCACAGGAACAAGGATCAAATGAAAAATTCATAATTAAATTAAGCTTAAAGATTTGAAATGCATAGACTAACAAATAATTTATGCCAAAAGGCGATGGAAATCATGTAATTCAGTGTTAAAATGGTTAAAAAAGAAGCCAAGGAGGATTACATTGCAAACTTGGCTTCAACAATCTACAACACTTATTAGAGAAACTTTCAATGTGACACAAGACTTCCTCGTTTAAGTTCCAAACTTTATATGCATCTCAAATGCCTTTGACCTGAATGCTCTCTAAGAAAACTGATCTTCGGATTAACTTTCTTAAATTCATTAAAAAGATGAGCTACAAGATGATCATACAAGACTATGTGGAGTTCAGGGGCAGAGACAGGATTTTTTTTCTTGGGGGGTGCAAAATATAAGTGGGATATAAATGGGGATTGTGGAGGATTTTTAAGGCATACCACATACCACAGGGGGGGCATCTCCCCTCTGCCACCCCCTGGCTCCACCCCTGGTGGAGATTAACAACACATGAAATAGATACCTTAAGAAAATAGCATAGAAGCAAAAGATGTCTCTTAAATTCATCAAAAGCCCCATGCAACTTCAAATAGATCCAACTGCATGGTTCCCCTTCAAGGTTCTTAACATTCATTTGCAAATATCACAAAACCATGGTGTGTGTGTGTGTTATTAATTCAGAAAATACAGAGACATCAAACGCGTTTCTGAAATTGTTCACATCAGAGTCTACCACAGGTTACAAAAAACTGCCAGGGAAACTTTCAGAGATTGTTTACGTGCCTTTCTTCATGTCTGCAATTCCAAGAAGTTCAACAAGTTCAACATGATTTCTCAGTTTAGGCTCTTCCCGTTTCTCCCCCCACGATCGAATTACTGCATTATTCGCCTAATACAAACGAAAAATAAAGTTAGCACGTATATTAATTATATCCAATTCAACTTCATTTTGCATTAAAATTAAAGAAATTGTGAACAACCATATACCTCGTCATCGCTAATAGGAACGGAATCGTGCACAAGGTTTCCGACAACTTCCAATCTCGAATACAAGGCCGCTCTGGCCTCCTGAACTTCGACTTCTTTCTTTGCCGTCAACCGCTTGTTCTCATCCGTATTTTTTATCATTTCACTCGCATCTTCACCGGCCTTCCAAAGTAAATATACAATTCAATTCTAAAACTACAACCAATCGAACCAATATAATAAAATAAGTTAAACTAAAACTAGACGAAATACAAGCAAAAGGAAGCTCACAATTTTGAGGCGCGCAACTTCCTTATTAATCTTGTTGAAGTCCTTCCGCAGATTATCAAGCTCGAATTGACCTGTGTAACCAAAGCGAAGAGGAACCCAATGTCTAAATTCTTCATAAATTGAAGTTGCACAACGAATGAGATAAGACTAAAACCCAAAACTTTCGAAGCTTACGCTGTCGCCATTCCTTGTCCAGGCGGATGATCTCGTCGACGATCTCGACATTGGCGTATCGCCGGCGCTGCGATTCACGGATCCGTTCGGGATCGTGGCCCTTGTCTTCTCGGAAGAGATTGATGTCCAGCATCTCTGTTAGTTAGTGTAAGCACTGCAGAAGGCGGCAGCGAATAGTTGATGAAACAGATAGAGTGACGGACCAGTGGACCACCCAAAACCCTAATCGAAATCGAGATCCCTAAATACTTGGTGGCGCGAAATGAACGATCGCTCCCTCCGGATTGTCTGAACCCGAACTTGACTCGTCCCACTTGGCTCTTCAATTAACTCATTCTACCGACTTACCGAGTTCCAACTGGGCTGAGCCAGCCATATGAAGAGTAGCATGCAAGAAAACCTCAAAGAAACAATCAAACAAGCCAGTCTATTGAGGACGGGCTATCCCCGTTGCGGTCTCCGTCTCCCGGTGTGTAGCCCATCATGAAGCCCAAAAGAAAAATTGAAAAGATATTCCAGAACTTTCAAAACACCCCCGAACTCCCAACAGTTTGCCACTCCTCTTAATGGGACTGTTGAAAATGAGAAATTTCTTAAAATACCTTTAACTTAATTCAAAATGGGGTATTGTTCATTGTCATATATGTTGAAATGCCATAAACCAATTCCAACAAACCAAAAAAAAAAGTCCAATAATTTTATTTGGTAAAACTAGCAAAAAGAGTTCATTAAACAAAGACCCAGAGTACAAAAAGTAATAAAAATTAGGGTCTAATTAAGTCTTGGTTGGCCAAATCTTGGATCCACCCAAGTGGATCTTGGGCAAGCAACCCAAACTCTTACCTCTCTTGGCTAGCATATGTGCAGCAGCATTACAAGATCTATTTACATGATTAAAGGAAATTGTTAAATCTTCAATAAGTAATTTAATGTCCATGCGTGGAAAGTTTGCATCTGAGACCAAGTCCAAGTTTCCTGTCCTTAGAGCCTGCACCAGAAGTTGACAGTCCGATTCCACTTCTATATCTTCCTCTTTGTACATACTCAAAACCTCTAGACTGTTGAGGATCGCCATTGCTTCAGCCTGAATGGGAGACAAAGCTGTTGATTTTCCAAAAATTGCAGCTATAACTAATCCAGCATCATTTCTTAGAACTACACCAAAACCTGAACTACTAGGACAAAAAACTCCCATCTACATTCATCTTGAGCTTCCCTGCTTCTAGTGCTTCCCAAAAAGAATATCTTTTCTCACTCAGGCTTGGATGTTGAGGAGAAGGATCCCGCAATCCTGCTTGGGAAGTCATCACTCTCTCCCTCCACATCCTATAAGAAATAGCAAGTGTAACTATGGGAATCGGGTCAGCATTCTCAAAAATTTTACCATTCCTAGCCTTCCAGATATTTCACAATAAAAGAAAGGAGAAAGAAAGCAGTTCATATTTTCTACCCCTGTCTTTTGAGCACAAGTCCACCCAAGTTGAGATCCCTAGATTGAAGGAACTAATCGATCCTCCTCTTATACCCATATAATTCATGTGAGAACCAAACCAGGTAGCTTTTGCATGTTCACATTCAAAAGGCAGTGCATAATGGTTTCTATCTATTGTTCACATATTGGACAGATGCTATCATTCGAGAGTTTTCTTTTATAGAGGTTTTCTCTCACTGCTAGAGCATTTTGAAAACATTTCCAAATAAAGTTTTTTTATTTTTTGGTCAATTTTTACTTTCCAGATTTCAGCCCACTACTTTTTCCCCATGTTTACTGCATTGAGCGGGTCTGAGGTCCCAATGGTTGGTTGACTATTTTGTGACATTAAGGCATAGTACCCAGTTTTTACTACGTAAAACCCTTTTGGATGAAAGGTCCAATTAAGTTTATCCTCCTAGACTCCTCTCACTAAATTTACACTCATAATGTTTTTAGCAATTTCCTCCCCGAAATTTTCTTCCACCAATCTTGTATTCCATCTTCTACCATCCTCTACCATGAGATCCTTTACCCAAGTCAACTTTGGGTTATTTGTCCTGGGCCCCATAATTTTAAATGACTCAATCTGTTTTAACCAAGAATCATCCCATATTCTAACTTTTGTACCAGAATTAACAACCCGACAGGCCCCTTTCTGGAGGACCTCTCTAATTGCCACCATACTTTGCTATCCCCAAGAACCCCTAGTAGGCAGATTATCAGTTAGGAAATTTTTTCTCTTGATATATTTGGCTTTGATGATCTTTACCCATAGGTTATTTTCTTCATTACATAATCTCCAAGCTTGCTTTGCTAGCAAATCCAAGTTAAAATTATAAGGATCTCTAAATCCCAATCCTCCAAYACATTTATTTTTGTTGAAAACCTCCCAGCAGACCTAGTGTGTTTTCCTCTAATCCTTTGTCCCCCCCACCAAAACCTAGTTTGGATCTTCTTTAGTTCATTACACACTTCCTTTGAAAGAAGAAAACAAGACATTATGTAGTTTGGGATTGCACTGGCTACTGCTTTTATCAGGACTTCTTTCCCCGCTTGAGATAAAAGAGATTCATGCCACTTTGATAGCAGTTTCTCCGCTCTCTCAATTAAGAAGTTGAAAAGGGTTCTCTTTGTTTTACCAATTTTTGTGGGAAGCCCTAGATATATGGAAGGAGATTCTACTCTTTTCATTCTTAAAAAATTTTCCAAAAGATTTTGCAGTCTATGATGCAAATTCTTATTGAAAAAACCTCTGATTTGGAGAAATTTACCTACTGCCCTGACGCCTCTTCATAAGATTTGAGAGCATCCAGAATACTTTGCCCTTCCCCATCACTGCTTTAGAAAATATGTAACTATCATCTGCAAAAAATGAGAGACAGTTGGATAGTTCCTAGTAATTGAAATGCCATTTATTTTCTTTTGGGAGGCAAGCTCTATGAGCTTTGCATACAGAGTTTCAAAACAAAGTAAAAATAAGTATGGGGGCAAAGGGTCTCCCAGCCTCAGCCCCCTCACTGGGACAAACTTTTGTTCAAGGTTTCTATTGCCCAAGATCCTATAAGATACAATAGACACACATTTCATGACCCAATTTACCCACCTTGCTCCAAATCCCATCTTTATCATGGTTCTCTCCAAGAAATTCCACTCCACCCTCTCATAGGCTTTGCTCATATCAAGTTTCAACGCCATCCAATGAGTCCTCCCTCTGGCATTTTTCATAAAATGTATAATTTCATGAGCTATCAGGATGTTATCCTGTATGTATCTGCCTAAAGTAAAAGCACTTTGATTTTCACTAATTAATCCTCCTAGAAGAGGCTTGGTCCTATTAACTAGAACCTTAGCTATGATTTTATAGATGGAGTTGCAAAGACTGATGGGTCTGAAGTGAGCAACCTCCTTTAGGTTTTTTATTTTTGGAATCAAGGCTATATAGGTTTCATTAAATTCTCTAAGTAAATATCTTGACTCAAAAAAAAGCTTTAACAACCTTAATCACATCAACTCCTATAGTTCTCCAAAATTTTTGAAAAAAGAAGTTTGGAAATCCATCAGGTCCTGGGGCTTTCCTAGGTGCCATATGAGATAGAGCCCCCTTTATTTCCTCATCTGTGACTTCTTTTTCTAACAAGTCTCTCTCCTGCTCACTCAACTTGGTTGTGACGCAACTTAGGAAATCCTCTTGTTGTACTAGCTTCGAAGAGCTGAAAATGCTCTTAAAATGGTTTTCCAACTCCTTAGATATTTCCTCTTCAGATAATAGCCACTCCCCATTTGCACATTTTGAGAGTTGTTATTCTATTCCTACTGCTCCTCCCTTTAGTTACTGAATGAAAGAATTTAGTTTTTATCTCCAACTTGCAGCCAGTTCACCCTAGATTTTTGTAACCACAATAGCTCATCTCTCTTCAGCCAGGAATTCAGATCTATTTCTAAGAAGTTTGCTTTGTTTTGGTTAAACTCTTTCCCTACTTTTTTCACCTCCTCACTAAGCAGGTCCTTGAATTCCTGAATTTTCTTTTTTACATTGCCAAAAGTTACCCTATTCCACACTTTGATTTTTTCCTTTAGAGCTCTACACTTATTCCCCAACTTCATTTGATTGGATCACCTACTATTACTTCCCCAAGTAGTCTCCAGTAGACCTTAGAACTCCTCATGGTCTGTCCACATTTCCTCAAACCTAAAAATTCTCCTCCATATGTTGTTCCTGGAATCAGTCTCTAACAGGATAGGGTGATGATCTGATCATAATGTAATTAAATTTTTAACTCTGCAATTTGCAAATTGGTCTTGCCATTGAGAGTTACAAACCACCCTGTCAAGTCTGGCTCTGATGAGCCTAGTACCTTCCCTTTTACTAGACCAGGTGAAGGTTGGACCCTCACTTTGAACCTCCTGAAGCCCATAATCTTTTAATAAAGTTCTAAATTTCAGGAATTGGGATTCAACATAGATTCTACCCCCTCTTTTTCAGAATTATACAAGATAAAATTTAGATCACCAACCCATGGACCTGCAACAAGTTTTGCTAGGTTACTCCATTTGTTAAAAAAAGATTTCCTATGTGCTTTTTTTGGTTCCCCATAGATGAAAGAACAGTGCCATATCAGACCCCTCTGGGTGGTAAATTCAACATGTCTGAAGTTTTTGTCAGCATATAGAACCTTTCCTGCTATTTCTTTTTTCCAAAAAAGAGCCAAATCTCCACTGAGACCTACAAAGTCCACCCCAACCTTTCCATTCTTTTACCCATTTGACATATTTTTTACAATTAAGGCAAGTAGTCTTTGTTTCCATTAAGAAAATTACATTTACTCCAGGATTTGTGCAGGTCTCTCTAAGTGCTCGAATTGTCATGGCCGACCCCATGCCCTGACAATTCCAACTTAAAATTTTCATTTGCCACTTGGGGTCTATTGCGGGACAGGTCCCCAAACCCACTTATTAGCTTTTTTTATCATTTCCGTCATCACTCCTGCTGTTTGGCCATTATGAGCTCCCCTCCTTGATTTAATGAACCAGGAAACCCTGTTTACTGTTTCTAACTTAATCTTGTGATCCCTAAGCTCTATTTTTGTTCTCTCATTCCGCCAGTTCATGATAGAAGTTCTACATTTCCTAATATTAGTCTCTCTTACCCTGAGAGTGTCTGCTAATACCCATATGTCACTAGTACCTATTAGCTTTCTTCTATACTTTTTCAAACAGTTCTTACTTAATCTTCTCCTGTTATCAAAGGCCATAATCACATTTTTAATTCTATTGTTCCTTAATGTGCCCCAAATTTTCCAGACTTTTTCATTTGCAAAATTCCAATAGAAATTCAATCCTAATTTAATATTGTATCCAAATGGAACTACCACAAACTTATTATCTTGAACTACAGAAATTTTAAGGAGGGAACTGGAACTTACCTCTTCACCTTGCATGTCTCCCTATTACATTCTCCTTCTAACGCAGCTCATAGCATCTAAGTCTGTATCTGCTGCTGCCGCTTCCTTCTCGCACTCTTCCTCTTCTCTATACCCTTGCTCCTCTATGTTATCAATCAATAAATCATTAAAATCGCACCCATCCTATCCCAATCTCCCTTTCTAGATAACTTCAGTTTTGTCATTACTTTGGCTGGTTGCAAGTCGGAATCAGAGTTGGAATCTTCTATCTCTCTGATCACCACTCCTTCCGATCCTCTTTTCCTCGAATAGCTAATCAACCTTTCATTTTCTAGGATCTTCATTAAAGCCTTTCCTTTTCCTTTATTTATCCTTCCCATACTTGTCCCATCCGATTCATTCTTGCCACGTAATCCTTTACCTTCAAGGAAATTTGCCACATCATCTCCCCTTTCTTGTTCGCTGTGGGCCCGAAGCCATTCGCTCTATGACTGATGTGCCCCTATATGTAGTACTTCGTCCCTCGATCTCCCCCCTGTCAGCTATCCCATCCTCATCATTGCTTTCCTTCTTCTCCATCACTAGTTGCTGGCGAGGCTTCCTCAGAGAAACAATTACAGTAAAGATTCCCTCCATCGGGAAGATGTTGCATCTCCCTGGTTTGGTACTAGCTTCCTCCTGGAGCAGACTCTTCCGACATGATCCGCTCACATTTGACCTCTCATTGTGGTTCTTAACATGTTTGAGAGAAGCTTGCCCAGCCACAGTGATTCCCAAGTTTGAGCGAACCTTTTCTATTTATGCTCCTTGGAAACGCATTTGTCCACCTAAAAACAGACCTTAAGTCGGCATGCCTGCATTGCCCTACTCAGACAGCTTATTTACTTGGTTTATGAACTTAAATTCTTTCTTGTATGGCGATGCTTTGAGCGAAGGCCCATACCCTACAGGGACCCTTTGATTGCTCAGGTTTTGCTCCGCTAGTCTTTTTACCAGCTCCTCCATCATCTGCATACTAAACACATTTGAACAGCCAACTCGCCTCAGCTCGGCCACGCACCTGTTATAAACTGCCACATGTTGATCTGGCGAGCTGTCTTGTTGAGTTGGACGTTATGTTGCTGACAACGTCCACGTGTCTACCATCAAGTGGGTTGACTAAAATGACCCTCATCAAAGGACAAACTAAGCCAATAAATATGTGTAGTGAATCCCTAATGCATCGGGTTGTTTTTATGATTCCTTAACAAATCCCTAATAGTATAATATTACCACAATGTATCAGGTTGTCTGAACTTGCCTGAAACCAGTATTTCAATAATTACAGGATAAACAAAAGGGCAAACAATAGCATACGGTCAAACAATAGCATACAGGCAAACAAAAGCACATAGGCTAATAGCATATATGTAAATAATAATTTCGTAATACAACAAAATGGAAAAGATGACTCACCACCGATGACTATGTTCGTTGGTGTTGAGTTCACGTCTAATAAAGCTGAGCTGAGATTTTGACAGTGAAAAGGAGAAGTGAGTTCGCATCTAAGAGAGAGAGAGAGAGAGGACTCACCGCCATTGTCGGCGCTTGTGTTCGCTGTCCCGCCGGTGCCTAAGTTTGCATCTGAGATTCTGAGAGAGAAGAAGTGAGAAGAGGAACAAGAGAGAGAGAGAGAGAGGACTCACCGCCGGTCCGCTGGAGTTTACTAGTTGCGTCGATGAGTGTTTTCCGATTCTGTGTCTGCTTGAGAGTGTGAGGTTGTGAGTCTTGTGACTGTGAAAACTGAGAAGAGAGGTTTGGCTAACTGGCTAAGACGAGAAAGAGATGAGTGAGAAGAGGGGTTAGGATATTAGTGTTTTTGGTTTAACCTAAAGGTCGGGCTAGGTCGGGCTCGAGCTGGGCTATTTTGACAAATCCCAAGCCCAGACCGAAATAAATTTGAGTTGGGCTTTTTGACCCGAGGTCAAGCTCGTGGGCTCAAATCTGTGTTCAAGCCCGTCCAGGGGCCGGACTGGCCCATGAACAGGTCCAGTCTACACCACACCTTGTGGCAAGGACCAATCCACACTACACCACAGCCCACAGTTGTTCTGAACTGTGGACAAACTGTGTGGACAGTCCAGTCCACACCACACTTTTTTTATTCCATGTATCTCATATACATTTTATGAATAATATACACAATTAATCATAAATATCTAATTTTTGCATTTTATATGATAAATATTTTAAAATTTGCATCAACGAATTAATATTAACCAATAAATATTAATTTTTTTATAAAATAATTAAAAATTAAAAAATATATTTTAAATATTTAAAAATATTATTTTATTTATAAAAACATAAAAATTTTATAAAAATTAAGTAGAATAATTAATATTTTAGATCATACAACCGGAATGCAACTACAGGAATTTCAGAGATAAAACTGAAGGTGCATCTCTGTGTATTTGCAATCTGTCTTAGATCACACTGCCTCTGATCCATGCTCCTTGAAGCATGGGATAAAAAATAAGCTTTGGAGGGGACGTATCCACGAGTTTTTCCTGTTGACGATATATTGGGGTGTGGACGGGACCGGTCCACGCTATATTGGAGTGTGAATGGTCTCATCCACACCTAATCGTACGGGTCTTCATCCCATGGACGGGACCGAAACAGATGAACACGGTGCTGAACACCACCATAGTGAACACCCCTAGCCACACATTGGGAACATCTCCATTGCCATTCATGGGAAGATGTTATAGACTTCTAGGTTGTAGTATCTTGTTGTGACGTTTGTTGGTAGTTTATGGATGATAATATTGGATGAAGTAAAGCAAAGTTAGACATGCTTGGTATTTTAAAAAGAAAATAATTAGAAATGATGGTTAGAAGTATAGAAAATGAGTTTTTTTCTTTTTTCTTTTGAGTATTTGAATATCACCAATGGTTAAAATGGATGAATGAAAAACTAGAAAGGATATGATCATAAATGAAGTCATCCATATTATCATAAGAGTAGTTTCAATAAGTGATAAAATGAGAGAGAGTAGAAAGATGGTTTGGTCATGTGTATAGAAGATTGCCAACAACTACAATTAGAAGAAGTGATTTGTTACAAATTAAATGAGCTAAAAGAGCTAATGGTAGACAGAAAAGGACATGAGTAGAAGTGGTAAGAAATGATTTAAGTACTAATAATTAATAGTGGATATTACTTAAATAAATTGGATTGGTGAAACATATTTCATGTAAGTCATGAATGATAATGATTTCATTGAATGCTACATACCCGAAACAGGGCTACCATTTGGGTCAAGTTGTTGGTTAACCAAAAGTTTTAATAAGCAAGGGCCAAAGTTAGGCCTCTATTTTAAGCTTTTTTGGGGCTTAAAGTTCAATTTGGATTGGAGAGATTATTTAATAGTTGGAATATGACCACAACAGAGTTGATGACCTAGTCGTTTGAGTGATCAGTCCACATTCCTTAAAAAGAGGAGGCACAGGATCAAACCCATGTAACCACAGGCTCTTAGTCACAAGGTCAAGGTGGCCCCCACCTTTACTCTGGTCTGTCCCCATCCCATGAGTTCCCCATGATGTACAATGTATAAATACATGGTTTCTGTGGGAAAATAGAAAGTGAAAACTAACAACAAATGTATACATCGTCAAACAATTACCGAATACTTTCATGTTTGCTATGTTTTCATTTTATTGAAAATTTATAAAATTCTCCCTCGACTCTCTTTTGGCAATTCTACAAACCTCCCGTGTTTTGATCCTAACAAAAACCTCCATTTGGTTTTGAAAAAGATGCAAATACCCCCCTTTCTCCAAATGAAAAAAAAAAAAAAAAACTCAAGTAATGCATTAATATTTTTAAAACACCACATTTACCCTTGACCAACTTCATTAAGACGTATATTTATTAAAATACCCTAAAAAGAACAAATTAATTTCTCTTTATTTTACTTTCCTTTATACCTCATCTCAATCAAGAAGAGTAGATAGAATTTCCTTTCATTGTCAGTCATGGAGAGCCTTGCAGCAGTTCCAAACTTCCGATGGTTTGATACAACACCTATTTTGGAGGAACGTCAGGTGACTATCTCAAGTTCTCAATTACTGGCCACTGGGTCATCAGTGTTGGATATACATCCGTACACAGGAAATTAGGGGAAAAAACTAAGCATCGTTCATATGTATATGTACATAATATATTAAGATCTCCAGTTCACCGATCAGGTCCTCCAGCATAAACTAATGTCCAGAAAACATTCTTCATCTGTGTCAATATCCCAGGCCGAAGGGGGAAAAGTGTGCGACTCTTAATGCATTCCAGCATCCACATTATCTCCATTGATGCTAGAACCATAAACAAGCGCACGGGAATATGCTTCCACTTAACAAAAGACTAATCCTACATTCCTATCCAGCTTTCTATTTGATAAATTCCATTCCGCCACTGAGGAAAAGGAGATAAAAGATGTAACAGGAAGTGGAACAAAATTTGAAGGATTCCACAATATTTATTGTGAATGTTTGTCAAAGATTGAATACATGTATGGTCCATATTCCAAAGAGTGGAACCAATGCATGAGCACGTTATTCTGCTATGGACAGTGGAGTTCAAGACCCAAAATTACCATTTCCAGATGCAATCGCCACACTGTAAACAAGAAAACATTAAAAAAAAAAAAAGATTAGTTTACCTTTGACATCTAAGCAACATAGAGGCTCAAGTTTGATGATCATATAAGAGGGATACATCATATAAGGCAAACCAAGGCCCCAAGGGGATAAGTGAACTGACAAATGATCCACTGTTTGAAATGAATTCTAGATTCTACATTCAATACCATATGGATATTATTTTACCTGTTAAATATTTCTTGGATGGAGTCTTCCACCCAAACATTAACTGCCTATTGATACTGGTATATTCTGTCCTTGTGTTCATACCACCTGCTTATGGGAATTCATCTGTATAATTATCATATTTGTCATTGTGATATGTATTTCCTTCAAATCCCTCGCGTTGTGGCAACACTCTCCTTGCCTTTCTTGGTGGAGAAAGCACAATAGGACCCTCCTGCAGATCAAAATCTGAAGGTCTAGAGTTTTGAGAGTCACCCTTGGGAGGAGGCCTTGGAAGTAGAGCTGGCTTTGTTGGTGCAGGCACAGATGAAAAATACCTAAACGGGAAGATAGACATGAGAATTAAGTACTAAAAAATAACTTGTACACTACCACTTGAAAAAGGTTAAAATTCATACCTGTGCTCTAGTGCTTGTTGAGCAGAAATTCTTGCCTTTGGGTCATAGGTGAACATTTTTGACAAGAGATCTAATGCATCATCGCTAGCCATTGGGAACAGAGAACGTAATGGAGGTGCAGGGACAACTTGGTATTCTACATAATCAGGAAGGAAAACCATGTCTGGCCACTGTGAAGGCCTTGGAGTACCAAAAGCTGCAAAGATCTTTCCTAACTGATCAATATCACTTGAACCCTGTCAAGCAAACATAAAATGTTAATCAAGAAGTGTTAACCTTTCCATATGTTGAATTGTAAATAAATATGTATATATACATACACGGATAGTTCAGATACATATCTGCACAATCATAAGAAAATACTAAACAAGCAAGGATAATCTATACAGAAGAATTCAAACTTTGACATATGGCAACCGACACACCAATAATAGTAAGTTTATTTGATGACAGTCATAAACTGAAGTCAATCTTTTTTTCACAGTGTTGATATAATTAAGCAACCAGATAATTCCAACCATTGATTAGATGGAAGTCTGAATATGGCTACAGAGACAGAAGCAAGAGGATCAACAAGAATAGACTACAACCTATTGTTGTAATACAACCACTTTAGCCAATTATCGACTAATAGTTAAATTGTATTTGCTTCTTTATTTGTTCAACTCATTGAAGAGCAATAACCGGAAGCCAACTAAGGACCAACTCTCTAATGAAATGTAGGGTTAACAATCATGAAAGGGCTGGTTCTTTTGGCCTTGCAAAGGTCTCATTTATGGTTTTTGACTTTGACTAGTGCCTGGATTCTTACTTTTGTATCAAGTCCTCAAACTTCATACTTGCTATTGTTCTTTTCTTGGTACATCTGTTGCTAATCATTAGAAGAAGTTAAAAGATTGTTGGAATCTCCAAACACTTAAACAAACAAAAATCAAGGCAAACACCTATGAGCACTACCATCATATGGAATGTACTAAGATAAATTGACATATCCAATTTTTTCAAGGTTTCTGATTTCATATAACCATATAAATTGAAAGAATGTATAAGATTATCTCATATACCTGAAAAGGTACATCAAGATAAAGTACTAAGCATTCCCCTCCATGAGATTGAGAAAATGGATTGCCCAACATACAAAATTTTGAGAAAATGGGGAAAATGAAGTCCCATAAAAGTTCTTTTCAACTGAAATCTAAGAATGAAAGAGGGCTAATATTGACATATCCAATTTTTCTTTTTCCTTTTTGGAAATAGGCTGCACATGCTGCTGTCACATTGTTTCTACAAAGAAAAAGTGAAAAAAAATTGAATCTTTTAAAAAATTTACCAGCATAATCAAGGTAGGTCATAAAATTTCAAAGCATTCCAAATCAGTAACTTTTTTTATCAATGCTCCAAATTATTAGCTTGAGCCTCATCCTCTTTATGATAAATGATTCATTTGTTGCTCTGAATGACAGCCATATAGGAAAAATCTCAATTAACTGGGCCTTTTAATACAATTAAAAAGATTGACACAGAAGTATCATATTTTAAGAGACCAAACTTTTAATTAAATAAATCCTTTATTTCTCCTCTGTCTATTGTAGGTTAAGGATTCCTTCTCTTTTCTCTTCTTCAAACCCTTATATATATATTATTTTTCATGTAAAATATATGATAAAGAATTAAAAAAATATCCATTTTACATCATATCTCAGGGATTTCTTGGTCTGGCCTGAAGAAGCAGTGCCACTCAATAACTATAAAAATGACTGCATTTTTATTGTCCGTGTGGATCCTCTACAGGCCATGGGTTAAATTAGTATCATTTGCACTTAATTGGTCCACCTCTTCTTTATCATCTCTGGGTAGAGACCAAAGATCTTGAAGCTCAAAACATAAGGCTCAGTTTGGGAAGAGTGCAAATATAAACATGTTCAGTGTAAAGCCTTGTATATGACATTTCTAAATCCTGTATTTGCACTCTTCCCAAATGGAGCTTAAGGAAATATAAGTAAATATTTTAAAGCAACCAAAGTAAGATGACCATGAACTGTTTAGCTTCACCTGTAAAAAAGGTCTGCGGAGAAGGAGCTCAGCAAATATACAAGCTGCACCCCAAACATCTACACCTGATCCATATTGCCTGGCACCAAACAACAACTCAGGTGCTCTGTACCATCGAGCAAAAACCTATTCAAATAAGTGGCACACTGGCATTAAATCATACAAACGAATGTACTCAGTAATTTCATCTAAGGCTATTTTTTATCAAGGCATTTGTTCATGTACTTCCAAGTTTGATGAGTAAGCTTAGAAAGGATGTGGAAGAGATAGGGGAAGGCCAGAGAGAACAATGGTTGAAGCAATGAAAAATGATCAGGAGGCATGCAAATGAACCATGGATGAAGCCTTAGAGATGGTGGGATGGTAAAAATAGGATGTGCAGTAGTGACATCATAAGGTCGAGTAATGCAATATGCTGACAATTACATCCCAATGTAATTGCATGTTGAATTAACCCAAATCAGATATCCTTATATCATCAATTAGCAGTACTGGAGACAAATGGCGCTTCTGGTATCAATAATGAAACAACAATCAATCTGTAACAGTTGAGATATCTATGGAAGATCCAAGTTTTTGACATGCTTTTGACTTCTCATACTTTACCAGCTCTCTTAATATGAATAAGAAGTGGATTTTCTGTTTCTCATTTTTATAAAGCACCTCCATGAATAAGAAAAATGGCATACCTGGTGAGTGAATTTGCGATCAGGGCTCCCAAAAATACGTGCTAAACCAAAGTCTGCCAGCTTAAGTTGTCCATCAGCCCCTATCAATAAGTTGTTTGGTTTCATATCCCTGTAAAATAGATCAGTACATATCTAAGACAACTCCAGCGGTATGGACCATCTACTAAATGGCTTGAATCCATAAACAGAACCATGGGGGAAAATACCTGTGCAAGACCCATTTCTGTTGACAATATGCCAACCCTTTCAATGTCATTTGTAGGTACGACTTTATATCAGCGGGTGAAAGAACGATATTTCTATCCCGAATAACAGCTTCCAGGTCACTTTCCATGAACTCAAACACAAGATGCAAGCTTCCCTTGTGAGGGAAAGCGTCTATCAACTCAATTATATTCGGATCCTTAAGCTCCTTAAGAAGTTTTATTTCCCTCAATGCAGTAAAATCTATACCTTCACCGTATTTCCCCAACCGAATTTTCTTAACCGCAACTGTCTGTCCTGTCTGCTCAAATCAAGCATAGATTCCATATAAACAACTCCATTAATAGAAAGCCGGGAAATTTTGAAGAATTGGCAGCTAAAACTTGATATCGTTATCCCATGCCATCAGTTTAAAGCAGAAAACCATCCTAAGTGGAACAAAAAATGAGATGAAACTCTAAAAGTAAGATTATGAGTTGAATACTTGATACATATAAACAGAATCCGGAAAATTCCGAAACCCTAGATCTGTATTGCCAATAAGAAACGATGAACAACTCACCTTGGTATCGATAGCCTTGTAGACAACTCCATAAGTTCCCTTACCAAGGACCTCGCGCTTGAGGTATCGATCTACATCTTTTGTGGAGAACAATTGATCGATTTCAGTCATTTTTAGTGCTGTCTTTCTCTCGGACGAGTGAARATGGCCCTGCCTCGAGCACCTGAGAGATGATTCAATTTCAAAAAGATAGAAATTCGGATTCCTCCATGATTAGTGACACGAGGACTCGATGAAGAAACAGCCTAAGTAAGGTGATACAGTATACTGCTGTGGAGAAGAAACGTGGAAAGATGATGCACAAACAATGCATGGGCTACTAGAAGTTTATTTGGAAAGTCTTTTTAGAAAATCTTCTAAAAGCTCAAGATCTCAAAAGACTGACGATCTTTCACAAGTAGATCTTCAAAGATTAACATACTTATTGGTCCCTCTTACATACATGATAAATATTAATGTGTGGGACCCAATAACACATTCAAATATGTAAATATTACTTATAGGTCCCACTTAGAAAAATCAATGTGGGCTCCATGTAGATCACTATATGATAAGTAATATTCCAATACATGCAATTAGTTTAACATGAATAATTTTCCTTAACCTGATCAATCATATTCTGCATGCCTTGTTCTTTGTTTTCAAATAATCTAGCATTCTGTTACTCCACAAATTCTAGAGAATTGCCACTTACATACAATTCCATAGTAATCTGTCTCTTCTCATAATACATGGAAACAACCAAGCTAAAAATAGATTATAAATGCTGAAGGTGGTGTCCATGCCTCACATAGATCATTATATGATAAGTAATACTCCAATACATGCAATTAGTTTAACACGAACAGTTTTCCTTAACCTGATCAATCATATTATGCATGGCTTGTTCCTTCTTTTCAAATAATCTAGTGTTCTGTTACTTCACAAACTTTAGAGAATTGCCACTTACACACAATTTCATAGTAATCTGTCTCTTCTCATAATACATGGAAACAACCAAGCTGAAAATAGATTATGAATACTGAAGGTGGTGTCCATGTAGCACCGAAGGGATGGAGAAAGTGGTTCCATAAAATGGAACGATAACTTGAAGTGCAGATTCTTAAAATGGAATGATAACTTGAAGTGCATATTCTAAATGGAAAGATAACTTTAAGTGCAGATTCCCAGCAAAAAGGCCCTCCAAAATGGCTTTAACTGAAGAGGTTTGAGGAAATGAATTGGCCAAACAATGTACTTTTAAAAAAAGGATAAAAAAGAGTAGGAACCATTTGGTCTAGTATACCAATCATCCAGCTCCTTTAAACATCAGCCTACAAATATAGACTAGTTTTATCACTTAATATGAACTTATGCATAAAGAATTTCCTTGAATCCCCCATGCCTTGCTGGTTATCAATGATGCCTAGTATGGTCATTTTAGATGGTATGTCAACATCAAACACTAATCAAAATACATATTATGCTTGTTCCTTTGCAAGTTGGAAAGAACCCTTACATCTCATTATTTTTGAACCTGAGTTCTAGATCTAGATTATCAAATTTTCAAAATCTCAAATGTTGGTTATATATTCTTCATTTTAATCATATACCCATTGCTAGTTATTTTCTATCATACAATAATGACTTCTGTAGAAAATGAGGAGGAGCACCCTCTGCTGTACAAAAGAACCTGTATCAAACTACTCAGTCCCCTAATATAGTGTAAATTCTTGAAATTGGCTACCCAATTTCCATCCCTACCAGGGAGAATCTCATCTTTTTCTTGTATTTTCATTATGTTAATTACTTAAGACAGATGACAAGAGAGGTATCCATCTGCTTGTGCTTGATTCTTCAGACATTTTAAACTTGAGAGAATTCTAATGTTTTATTACTCAAGTGGGTTGCTGACATTTCATAAACAGAATAAAGTTTTGAACAACATGAAATATGAGGTCCTTTGAAGGATGAGGACAGGGTAGGAGAGTTCTTTGAATGAAAGTTACTAGAAAATAAACTGTGCTTGTTCTGTAACAAGTTACTAGAAAAAGTAGCATCATACTACATTCTATTGCAGTTGATTTTCTGGTCTGAATGAAAGTTCTTTGAATTTTCTGCTCTTGTCATTAAGTTATTTTAAATCATAAAAGTTTTCACGCTGCTCCCAGATATGTAACAGTTAAGGTTGGTACAGGGGAAATCTGAACCTTACACTATTGCCTACATCTGATCTGCGCATATCATTCATTGGGAATGATGGCTGCCAGAAAGTTGTAGAATTTTCTTTGGTCATTTTTAAGGAGGATGTTGTAGAAGAATCAGGGTGAAGGAGCAATTAGCAGTTTGGGTGTCAGTTGAGGGGCCACTGCTTGGTACAAGGTTTAACTCTTGGAATGACAAGCATGAGAGTGCAGGTACAGATCTTGGGGGAGAGTGACAGAAAATTTTGGGTGAGAGAGAGAGAGAGTGCATGTGCAAATCTTTTGATTCAGTTTTTGTTTCCCCTATTATCCCCCACATATGGGCATATCATTAGCATATAATGTATGATGGATGCACTACGCATTCAGATCATTTGCATATATTATCACCCACAAATAGAGGGAATGTGTTGCTTCTATGTGAACCCACTAATTCCTTGTTCCTTAATGTCCATATCCATATCCAGGGCTTTCCACTTCTTCACTCTAGCATACATACCAAGCTGTAGTCAGAGCTTCCCTTATTTTTGGAGGACTTGACCACTTTACATCCTCTCAAGTTGGGTTGGAGAGAAGAATTTTATTTGTATATCAAGTTCAGATCATTGGAGCCAAATGACATTGCTTTTGCTGAATAGCAATGAACATAATTACATAGAAAATCAATTTAAACATAATTATGTATGAAATTAGCTGATGAAAAGATTATATATAGAACCTTCTTAGGATAAGGTTGAACACCCCCCCCCCTCTTCCCCATTGGTACATTTACATAAAGGGCTGGTGAAAGAGATCATAATTATACTAATTGTCCAAAAATGATATAAAATGACATAAAATGACTAACCAGTCAAACCTCTACTTGTATATCCAATGTTTTAATCACATTAAAGAGAGTTATATTTCTATAATATAGAATTCAAGAGTTGTCACTAATTTCTTAAGTATGTTGTGAAGAAGCCTTAAAAGTATTGTCCTCTCTTATACTTTTATTTCCTCAAATGTGTCATTCAGCATAAAATCAAAGGCTTAATTTGCATTTTGGGAAAAGACAATAAGTAAAAAAAAAAAAATCAATATAATWMAAAGAAAGTTAATGTGAATGAGAACATAACTTGCATAAACTACAAAGTTAATCATTCACTATTAGAATAGAAAAAATAAAATAAAACTTACACCACAGTCCATACAATCTACATTTGAAATGGTTTCAAATCAAATGGACAAATATTTTTAGCTCTATAACTCAGGATTAGTTTTTGGCTGTTTTATGTTGTAGAATCTTAATTAAGTGATAGAAAAAACACTATTTTTTAGATCTTATTAACTTACAGTATAACAACAATTAAAAACTTCACCAACATGACATTTGCAACAGGTTCGGTACAATTCATTCTTGGTAGGTGGCAATACCCTAAATCCAAATGCTCAAACCAAGAAATAGTACTAGAAGTATATTTTCCCTTGGCCAGTGCCAAATTCATAATTTCAATTACCTAGTATTACCGCCTATAGCCAAACTTCCACTTAGAGCATCTACTTCACTCTCAATAAGCCTCTGCCACATGGAGTTGTCATCCTTTTAAGTCTGTCTCCACCGACCCACACTTTGTTTTGTTGCAGCAATGGAATTTGCAGTTATTTAATGCATAGTGCATACAACTGAGAATACATGTTAATAATTAAACTATTGGTTATGTTTAATTGACCATACGAAGTCTAAAAATTGATGTAGAAGGTACTTTGCTCCGAGTTCAAATTTCGAAAGCAACACTCAAGTTTGTTTCATTTTGTCTCCAGCCTCCTCCTTCTACCAGAGCTAAATCAGAACCCCCGAACAGAAGTAGTAGTTCCCTTTTAGGGGCATTATTTTTCTGGGTTTTGAGAGTGGAAAGTTGATTAATAGGATTTTGATTTTGATCATCAAGAATCCTGTGTTTTTTTTTCTTTTCAGATTTATGTGGAGACAAAAGAAAGTCTTTTTTTTTCAGGTAAGTGATACCCATTTCTTAAGTGGATAAATAACTTTCTCACAATGGGAAAAATTGTCAATACTTGAACGAGACAAAAATGCCCCTTTTAATAATGATTTTTTTATGACTAAAATAATCATTACCTTATTTCCATGAGAAATAAAAGAACATCCATAAATGCACTTATCCATATAAAAAATTTACCAAAAAATGAACATGGCCTTAAAATTCGTTGATGGGATCTCCATCGACAAACGGAATCCAGCTTTTTAGTTTTCCTCCCCAGCTATGTCCGTAAGATTGGTTGAGCAAATTTTCTGCAAGTAATTTAAAGCTAATCTTTTGCAATAATTTGATTTTGGGTCAGCCATTTTCTTTTAAATCCATTTCGTTAATCTGTTATTTGAGTTTAGTGCTCCCTCTTTGCTTTGTGTCTTCTACAGTTCTACCCAAAAAAAAAAGTCTCTGCCGTAATAAACTGCCTATTTAAGGATGGGAAGTTTTCAATTAAAACTGTCTATTTAAAGGAAGTAATTTAGATAGTGCTCCTCCTAGGGGAACTAGTGAGATTGCAAATGTATAGAATCTAAACACCCCCCC